GACTTAGCAAGTCCGACGCGCTGGAGTTACGTGGCATGTGTTTTGCAATTTACACCACGCATTTTCTGGGTCACGCTGCCGCGAAATCATGTGGCGCAACTTTTCCGCAGTGGTTGGGCGTGTTTTTTACACTTTGAGTTTGAAAAAGCAAGTGCGACGGGCGGTGAACATGCACGCTTGCAAGTGTAGCCTTGGATGTATATGTGAGAACTTTTTTCCATGCAAGATATCACTGGAAACCATAGTTGCAATAATTCAGACGTGTTTTTTTGCAAATACCAGTGGCTCAAACTGACTTGACATGTTGCAACAGCGCGAAGAACCTCTGGAGCAGGAAGTCTTTGTGCTTGTTGGCGGTCAATGTTTTGACATCGTTTTATGCTTGAAAGTTGCAGGGTGAACGTTTTGTGGTTTCGGATTGCGAACTTGTGGATGCATGTTTTGCACGTGGAACCCGCGTCGAATGCTGATGCTTCATGGAGGATAGCTCAGGGCCTCAGAACCGCTGCACGCATGTCACAAGACAAGAGCCGTTGCGTGTTTGCTTGCCGGGCAAATTGCCATTCTCAATGTGTTGCGTTTGGAAATAGTGCAAAACAATGCTAAGTCTTTAGAGGGAATCATTTTGACCTGGTGACGTTGAGCCCATCTCGCTCGGTGTGTTGCAAGGTGTGCCCAGAAAGGTGTCTAAAGCTGGAAGCTGGCGTCGAAGGCGGGAATTGCAATTGCAGAGCGCCTTGCCAACTTGGCGCTCGCAGTCTTGCAGTAGCAGAGCACGCGTGCTCGCTGGCCGTATCCAAGTTGCATGTTGCGACCGCCTGTGGCCGTGCAGTCCTCAATCTATAGCAACAGCTATCTAGAGGGACGCCTGTTGATATGGCAGCCTTGACAGAAGACTGCAGGAAAGAAATTGAAGCCCTTTTGGACAAAGGGGGCCCGCTTGAAAGGCAAATGACTTGGCTTTTCAACCTTCTCCGCGCCAAGGGCCTGCTTTGGGAGTCGATACTCCCTTGCAACCAGATTGGAGTTCACCCAATGAACCGGAACGGCGCCGGAACAAGCGCCTCACACGTGGAAGAGCTCCTCACCACGTTTGTTGAACTTGGGTTCTGTATGTCTCAGACCAAGTGCGTTTGCATTGAGGCCCCCACAGGCGACGCAACAGTCTCAACCTTCAATGAATCCATGGCAAGGGAATCCCAAGGACGGCTGGCGCAAGTTGTTCCGGGCAGCATCCGGTATGCACATGTCAGGCGCTTAGGATGCTGCTAGCGTCCTGCAAGCATCCTGACCCGACCCTGACAAAGGATGGAATGCTCAGCATGTCTGCTGTTCGTCTGAGAGACGCATGGCTGGCTGACGCAGCCGAGACCGGACTGAAGTGGACAGTCCTGTCACATGAACTCTTCAACATCCCTCGCGTCGCAGACCTTGTCCAGGCTGGCATGAACTGCACCAACCACACTACTCTTGCAGAGACGGAATTGCAGTTGTGCCGAAAGATTCTGGAAAAGGTGGTCAAGGAGGGGCAAGAGAGCTTGCAATGGGCTGACATCGAGAAGGAGGTGCTACGGTCAAAGCCTTCAGGGGCAATGGCATGCCCCTTCATGTTCGCGTTTGTCTGCAAGTTTGGGGGCGGAACCTTGGCTTAGCTCAAGCATGTTTTTTTTTGGGACATGTGCCCAGTGATAATTTGTATTATTTCACATCTCGCACTATCTTTCAAGCGTCAGGCAAAAAAGCGGACTTCATGAGCAAGACAGAATCGTTTGTCCGTGCTTTTGGACGCCCTGAAAGAATTTTGGGCGTCGAGTGGTGGGCTGCCATATCTTCTGAGACCTTTGGCAAGTTGAAGGGGGGCGCGGCAATTTGGAGGCACAGTTTGGTCATGCTGGCGTACACCGCCCCCGACAAAATGGTCGTGTCGAGCAACGATGTGAAGCGCAGCTTCTCCAACAAAGAGTGCCTCATGAAAATCCAGGAGTACGAGAAAATCCGCAACATAGTGGTGCAAATGGCCAACGCGCGAGGGCAGTCCCTCCAACCATGGGAGCGCCTGCGCCTGCTGGGTGAGTTCGATTGCGCCTGCGCAGCGGTGGTTCTTGACAAGAAACACAAAGATTGGCCGCTCCAGTTTGACAGCTTGAAGGCAGTGGGCAACTGGTTTGCCGAGCGGCTGTCACAGAAGACAGAGTGCGAGGTGCCCAAGCCCTTTGATGAACCCAAGCCCACAGGCAGAGGTCTCACACCATCTTCGTGGGGCGCGGCGTGCTCAAGCAAGGAAACCTTGCCGAAGCCCGCGTTGGCAGGCTCATCCGTGAGGATCCGGGAGCTGGCGGAGGACAGTCTTGCAGACACGTCGGGCCTGTCCGACAAAGGGCTTTCAGCAGGGGTGAAAGTTGTGGACAAGAAATCTAAAAAAGAAGGCGTCATCCTGAGCACGGACACCTGCAACGTGCGCGTTGAATGGTGCGACAGTGGAAGCACTGAAGCAGTGAAAACATCCCTTTTTCTTGAGGGTGCGTTCAGGCCTTTAGCAAACCAGAAGGTTCACCAGGAGGTCGAGCTCACAGACTTCCGGAGCAGCCCCAGCTGGCTGGAGCAGCGGGCCAAGTCATCGACATTCTTGGCCCTGCATGAGTTGTCAGAGAAACTCCCCACCTTTGAGTTCATCCTGTACCAGAAGCCCAAAGCCCTGAAGTACGTTGGGAGCAACTCTGTAGGCAAAGGAAAGCTGCAACTGGCGCCCGTCACGACGAAGGTTGTGCTGGGGTCGGCAGGGTCAGTGGTGCTCGGCTTCGTCGAGTTGGGCGGGGAGAAGAAGACTGTGTGCCTTCAGCCACGCGCTGCCTTCGCATCACCCTTTTGGCACATGAAAACATCCAAGGACCCCGAGGAGTGCAACATGATTTTGAGCCAGGCTTTGCAGGTGAAGTTGAGTTTGGGCAAGGTGTCCATCCAGGTGGCTAAGAACACCCAGAAGATCGAGCCAGGAGATTTCCTATGCCTCATGTCCAGCGAGGGCGATGGTGAGGAACACTCTCCTCCTTCGAAGCGGCAGAAGCAATGAGCCGGAGGGGCGTTCCAGAAAGCAATGAAGTCGAGAATGTTTTTGACGATGTAGAACGGCGATGTGAATGTAGGCCAGTGTGTATAAACCAGGCGGCGACTGGGCGCAAGTGTGTCACAGAGCATGCGCAGCGCAGGTTTGCCTTGACACTGATTGCAGTGCAACTTCCTGAATAGATACATCTCAGGCATCAGGCGGGTGTTTTTTGTTATGTAGGCTGGAGCGTGCAACCTTGATGCCGCAGCAAGGGCCTTTGAGTTTGATCAGCCACAAGGAGGGATTGCTTTCTAGTTCTTACCATGTAAAAAGCCAGGCGTGATTTGCTAGACCAGCGCGGTATTATTTCGCGCCCCTGCCCCCCATGGCAGACGGAGAGTCCTCGCGTGAGGAAGACCAACCGGACGCTGGCAGCGACGTTTCTGAAGACAGGGGATGGCAAATAGACACTTTAGTTGTTGTCCGCCACCCCAGTCTGAAGAAGCAGTGGACGCCTTCAACCAAGCATGTAGGCCAGCAAACATTCTTCAAGTTGAGCCGATGGGATCGTGGATGCGCAATGGCCTTCACTGGAAAGGGGCTGGAGCTTCGCGCCAGCAAAACTCCAAATTGCATGTCGGATGAGGGCTGGAACCAGTTGATCAGTGGAAGAAAGGCTGCCTGCAACGCACAGCTCCACCGATCTCTTGCACGAGCGGCTGCAGAAGCTGGCCTCCCAGCCCCACAAAAAATGAGAACTGCCAGAGAGGAGGATTGTGTTGTAGCTGGCCAAGTTGTGAACCTGCAGCTGAACAACGGAGTTGAACTGAAATGCCTGTGGGGAACGAAGCAGTTGGACAGCAACATTTGGCTAGAGCTTACCACTGGCTGCTTGGAGACTTTGCAGGCGCTCATGAAGCCATGTGTGAATGAACACCAGGCAGAGGCAGCAGCCAGCGACGTGCAAGGTGAAGAGCCGGGTGCCAAGGTGAAGAAACGTAAGCTTCGACGGCAAGGCCCGCGCTCCCCAAAGAAGACACGCAGAAGTACAGCGTTGCCAGCTCCAGATGCAAACGGCGACGGAGCTCACCAATCTAGCGGCTAAATGATGTCCTTGTGACCTATTTTTGGGTGGGCGACCCACGGGTGGCTCTTTGAAAGGAGTAAAATGCCTGAGCGACCAGGCGCTGCAGAGAATCATTTTATCTCGCAAGCGCTGTGAGTTTGCAGAGAGAGATCTCGCAAACGGTCTTGCAATCTTTGTTGCGGCGGTGTTGCAAGGAGTCTGCGCCCTTGCCTCCCAGGTGATGCAAGCAACACTGACATCTATACGCAGGCCATTTTTGCTGATCAAAGGCAACCACCATGTGTTTCTTTCATATCTGCAAGCCACCCCTGACTATGAGGATGTGGCAGCGCTTCTCAAGTGAAGCCAGGATCATTGCCACCTGTGGAGGTCACCCTGATCATAGGCGGGACGAGTTCAGGTTGTTGCGCACGCTCGAGTTGTCTAGGCGAGCGTGAAGGCTCTGCCCGGCCTTGCTGCGAGCTTAGCCCTGCAGCTTGGCCCTGCAGCTGGCTGTCATTCGTGCACGCTGGAGGCACCGACCTTTCCAGATCGTGCTCGGCTACAAACTGGTGGGGGTCCCAGTTTGCTTCCATGCCATTTCTGCAAACCTCACGTGGTCAGCGTTTGAGTCGTGCATCTGCCACCTACTGCATGCCTTGGCTCACACAGTGCCAAATGTACATGGCGATTGTTCACGTGCAAACCAAACATTATACGTCACCCAACCCAACAAACATGCCAGCCCAGCACCACTGTCACATCATCACCACATGCCACATGCCATCGCGTGCCATCACCGCATGCCAGATGCTGAAACCGCACATTGCATCATTACAGCATCAGCACGGGCCGCAACGGCTGGCTGCTGCACCCATGATGGGAGCCATGGACACGGCGGTGACCGACGCCGACGTGTCCGTCGCGTCGGCGTCGGTCACTGATGACGCGGCGCTGGAGCACACCTCTCCAGCAGAAGAGGATGACGCCGAAGACTCGGGTCAGGCGGACTTGCCCTTGGGCGGCGCGTTCGAGCTCCTGGTCCTGGGCGCGGTGATCCCGCAGAAGGAGGAGGAAGAGCCGGCGGCGGAGATGAAGAAGCCGGCGGAGGAGATGAAGAAGCCGCCGGAGGAGATGAAGAAGCCGCCGGAGGAGGAAGAGCCGCCGGAGGAGATGAAGAAGCCGGCGGAGGAGATGAAGAAGCCGGCGGAGGAGATGACGCCGGCGGAGAAGATGAAGAAGCCGAACAAGATGAAGAAGCCGCCGGAGGAGATGGAGGAGATGGAGACGGAGCCGGCAGAGCTGATGGCTCTCGCGGTGGAGAGCACATCCGCCGAGGCGAGTGAGGAGGTGGAAAGCAGAGGCGTCAAGCGGCCCCTTGCTGCGCACGGCTCCCTAGCCAGGGCCTGGCAGGGAAAGATCCCGGCCAAGGGGAGCGCAAACTCACAGGAGGCGCCGCCGGAGGCGCAGGAGGGAAGCAAGGAGGGAAGCAAGGAGGAAAGCAAGCTCCCCTGGAAGGGTCGGGGGAGCAAGGAGGGGTGGAGGAAGGGTGAGTGGAGGAAGGAGTGGAAGAAGGAGGATTGGAAGAAGAAGGATTCCAAGGAGGAGGAGGAGTGGAAAAAGGATTGAAGAAGGAGGAGTGGAAGAAGGATTGGAAGAAGGACTGGAAGAAAAAGGATTGGAAGGAGAAGGATTGGAAGGAGAAGGATTGGAAGGAGAAGGGTTGGAAGAAGGAGTGGAAGAAGGAGTGGAAGAAGGAGGAGGATGAGTGGAAGAAGGATTGGAAGGATGATGAGTGGAGGAGGAGATGCCGGCCTGATGGCCGGGGCGGCTACTACCTGCCGCATGGCCAGGGCTTCATCGACAGCCATGGGCAGCTGCGGAAGCAGCTCTGCCACACATCGGCATGTTTTCAGTGAATATTTTTTTTGTAAAGTGAAAACGGTTGACTTTCTCTTTCATTTTTCTGCTTCTTTGCTGAGGCCGGGAGAAGGCCTCATCGGCAAGACGCGGAACAGAGGAGGGCAGCGCGAGCAAGCCAAGCGGAGCGACATGCGGGCGCTGATCAACATGGTCACGAAGATCACAGATCTTCGAGCCGGAGCTGGCCCACCAACTGAGTAGGCCGGGCAGCCGTTCCGGCTGCGGGGTGGCTCACTTGGCACTGCATCAGGCAAGAGTGACCACTACCAGCTGTTCGAATTTGAGCCGCTCCCAGCCTAGAAAGGCGTGCCCTCAGGCGTCGCGCAACTTGCGCGGCTTTTCCTGAATAGGAAGCCATGTCGCAGCCGGCTGCAAGCAACCGCAGCATCATATAGCAAAGACACACCTAGCTGGCTGCGCACAGGGATCCCCGATTTGAGGACCTCATCGCAACCGTCAATCTTTTGTCGATCAACAATGTCGGAGACCCTAGGATTGTTGATCAACAAAGTTGAGCGGGTCGACCTTGTTGATCGACAAACTATTCGATCACCAGCATCCCAATCCCTAACTCGAAATGTGCCTGCAGCATTGCTAGGTGAAGCGGATACCACTGGTCTCCGACACTCGCTGTGAGGGGGTGCGAAATGCTCAAACCGGAGTTCAGCCACCGCTGCAACAAAGATACATGTCCCATTTGAGCAGTGTGCCACATTTGATTTGGCTTTCTTGTCTACCCTCCGCAAGGGCAACTCAAGGCCATACCTGGCTCGTAGAATGGAAACGTATGAGTTGATGGCGCTCCTGATTTGCCTGGTGCTGACCCTGAGCATTTCCCAGATCCTAGATCCACAAGACCACCTTGATGAGGATTGTGGTTGATCGTTTGAAGGCACACCTCTGGCGCTCCAGGATTTGGACGTGAGCGACGCGAGCGACGTGAGCGACGTCTCTGGGCTGTCCGATTATCAGAGCGACTATAATTAGGCCAGGATTGCAACATGCATGTCTAATCACACATGCATGTGAGCGGTGTTGTTTGGCTGGCGTGTCTTGCCAGTTGCAGAGCAAATGCTCGCATGGAGCAGCAGAGTAGCTCGCTGCAGCGTACATTTGCGGCTTGTGTCCCATAGGCTGTCAGCAATGGCAACCCGTGATGAGAGGGTTGTAGCTCATGCCAAGGAGCTGCAAGACTTCATGCGCAGTCAGGAGCCTGTGCTGAGCAAGCAGTTTGGGGAGCTTAAGAAGCTGGGAGCTGCCCCCCTGTCTCCCAAGGGCTGTATGGAGCTGACTCAGCACCTGCGTCAGTTCGCCTGGGGAGATGACAAGATGTCGGAGTTCTCCGACCTCATGCAAGATGCCATTTCAAAAGGATCAATCGCGAAGCCAACAAAGCGCGCCAACCAAACAGTGACAGATTGGATGCCGTACTGGAGCGTGAAAGATCTTGAAGTTCTAGGAGGCACTGATGTCTCTTTGGCATGCAAGCGTGACACCATCATAGTGCGTATGTTGAGGTGTGGCTTGCACCTCCCTGCCGAAGCGGCTTGGCGAGAAGTCATCCGCAGCGCCCAGGCTTGCGGGGTTGACTGGCCAGGTGATCCCACACAGCACTACCAGCTCCTGCTTGACATGAAGCGGTCTCTGAAACAGCGAGTCAGGAACACTGAGAAGCCCAAGGTGCTTCCCAAGAAACAGAACTCGCTGTCCGCGCCCCCGCAGCTCGCCTTGGCTAATGAGACACGGTCCACTGCCCTTTCACAGAGCTCTCCCGCGCATTCTGAGCGATTGGAGACGCAAGACTCACCGCCAGATGGGGTGGGGAGAGTGAATGAAGAGGACACAACTCCACTTCCAGATGAGAAGCAGAGCCCTACGAATGTAGCAGATGAGAAGCTGCTCCCTCCGAGACCCGAGGTGGACTTGGCAACCTTCCAGGCAGCCTACGGCGCCAGAGACAGGGCCAGAAAACGGCCAGCTGCAAAGGCATCCCCTCCTCTTGAGGAAGACGCAGGTCAGCCTAAGAAGAAATCGCCTACCTTGGCTAAGGGTTCAGCTGCAAAGGCATCCCCTCAGGTCAGCCTAAGAAGAAATCGCCTGCCTTGGCTAAGGGTTCGTCCAAAGCGACGCAGGCGGCTGAGGAGGAACATGTGGGAGCTGGGTCAGACCCGGAAGCAGCGTTTCCAGAGGAGCACCACGCTTTGATCAGATCCATGCCAGTGGACACAAAGCCGGCACCCCACGCAGGCCACGGCCGCCACTCCTACACAGTTGCGTATCATGGAGGTCGGGTGGAAGTGATGCTTCGCAAGAAAGCATTCCGACCAAAAGCTGATTGCCAGGGGCACGCCTTGCAGGCATCGCAGTGCCTTGGCTGCTCAATGTTTGGGTTTTCATTTGCAGATTTTATTTGCCCAAACAGAACCATGCCTTTAATATAAAGGCGTTCTTCCCGCAACGAAAAATCAATGTCGTTTCTATAGGGTGCGCCTCATGACACCACACATGCTCGGTTCACGTTGCTGCACGCTGTCTGTTAAGGATTAGCTTCAATGGCGTCGGAGGACTGGAAGCTGCGTGGGATCGCGCCTGTGCCGTGGTGCGTGCGGAAGGCACTGAGGCAGATGACGACGCAAAGGATGTGGACTGAGTGCTGCCTGATCTATAGCTGTTGCGCTTGCGCTTCAGATGTGTCTACGTCTCAGGTGATGCCTGTGTGTAGTACGTTCAAGTCCGGCAGGCGAGCGTGACAAAAAATGCCGATCTTGCTATTCGTATTCGCGCAGTTAGCAACTGGAAATCCCGACCGCCCGTGCATGCACATTGGCTCAGAGAGGTGACCGGTTGCATAGCTATGGAACCTTCCTGCAAAAACCTGTGGCTTGCCAACCCTGCAAATGAATCTACCCTTAAAAATGCTTAGGGGTAGAAAGTGTATGATGCTTATACTTGAATAAGCGCATAACATTTGGATGTCGTGCCTTGCTAGTCCAGTGCAGAGCATTGGCTCGCACTGCCTCCTGCAGAGCCAATCTGTGCTCGCATGGCGTCGACATGGAGCGCCAGACAAGACACTTTGTCACACAGTCGGCTCTAGCGGATATACTGCAGCCTCAGGGAGCAGCCAGACCTGATCCTGGGCACCGAAGGCATCAGCCGTTCCTCCATCAAGAGGAAGCGGGAGCAGGCAGTCAACGTAGATGGCTATCTGGGAAGTGTTTTGAGACAGATCGAGTTCAGCAAAGATGATGGGAGCACGGTGGCAGCGTCCTACCTTGACCCAGCCGCTTTTTTGGATCTGATGCTTTCCAGGTCCGAATCTATGAAAGCGTTTTGGGCTGCGCAAGGGGAACGACATCCGGGCTGCTGGGATTTAGCCCTGTATTTGGACGAAGTGACACCGGGAAACGCCCTCAAACCTCTCAACAGACGTAAAGTCTGGGCAGTTTACTACAGTTACTTTCAACTTGGGAGGGCTATGCTGCAAAAGGATTTTGGTTACCCTTTTGCTCATCAAGCGCGACGAAGCTGCAGCTCTTCCGGGAGGTATGTCCCAGGTAATGGTGGCAGCGCTGAAGAGGCTAGTCAGCGAGGAAGGCGCCCTGGCGAACGGAGTGTTTCTGCCATCCATTGGCAAAATGTTCCAAGCCCGGGTGAAAGTTGTGCTTGGAGACGAGGCGGCGTTGAAAGCCACGTTTCAGCACAAAGGCGCGTCGGGCATAAAGCCGTGCTTTTTATGCCGCAACGTCGTCAGTGTGTCGTCCGAGCTGGCGTGCTACGATGAGGAGCTGGTCGCAATCAGCTCCCATCGTAAGGCGTCCTTTCAAGAACACACTGACAGCTCCTTGTTCCAAGCTGCGGACTATATACAGAGCCCCGCGTATGTTGGCGCCGGCGTTGGCCAGAGGAAGCTGATCCTGAAAGGCCTTGGCATAAACGCAGTGCGCGAGGCGGGGCGTGATTGCTGACAACTTTGCGGGAATTCAAACCGTGTTGCCTTACAACCTTTGTTGTCCATTGGCATTTGAGTTACGGGTGGATTTCGGATTTTGGTTCCCAGTGCTGCAGGGTGTGCTGTTTGACGCGTCTCCGGCAAGACATTCAGCCGATCTCGATGCTCCAATACGATTGGATGCACTGCGTGCTGGTGCAAGGAACTTTTGAGAAAGAACTTGAGCTGTGCCTCAAGGTTCTTGGGCCTTTGGGGTTCAGCTCTGAACGGCTTGACGCATTCCTGCGCCCTGGCGACACAAGATTTCAATTGTTTTCTGCAAATTATTATGTGTGTGTAGTAATGAGCTCTTCTCAATTTTCTTTTTTTTTGGACTGGCTCCCATGCACTTACTGCAGGAGATCCCTTGTTTGGCCGAAGCACCTTCGCGCGTTGGGCGCGTCTGGCTCGAAATGCTTGTCCAAGTCCAAAACCTTTTCAGCGTCGGCTTCGGAGACTCTTACGGTGAGTGCGGCTATTCGCAGCTACCTGCAAAGTCTCAGGTTGGAGACGCACTCAGACTGGAAAATTCGAATCACAGTCATGTCCTTCTACGCTCTTTGCGAAGTGGTGGACGTGTTTGCCGCAAGTCTACTTTCGGATCCAGATGCGGATGCCCTGGATAGAAAAGTGTCCAGGCACCTCGAACTGTTTTGCTTGGCGCGCACGGAGGAGGCAGTGATTCCCAAGCATCACTTCTTGATGCACATGGGCGACTTCGTCCGGCGCCACCCCTTGCTCTTGAACTGTTTCGTGCACGAGCTAGTGAAGCAAACGCGAGTCTGTTTGCGCATGCGGTTCTGGCCCAAGAGCGTTTGTCTCGGGCTCTCTAAAACTTATAGAGTGGTAAAATGATGTGAAGCCAATGCCAGGAGATCAAGCGTTACGCCAACGAGATTCACAACGCTGGTAGTTGGTTCTCAAAGCATGTCATCCTCAACGCTGCTTTTGCTCAGCTCTTGCGTGTGCATAGGTATTCACAATGAAAAACAAGCATTTGCCGAATTCTTAGGTTTTGATGCGATTGACGGGTTTGCGCTGGGTTTCAGGAAATATGCAAAGCGTATCAGCCTGATGTGGTTGTGGATCGCAGGCGCCTGGTAGGCAGTCTGACGTATTGCAAGGTTGGCAGCCGTCTACGGATCGTGCCAGAAAGCTGGTTTGGCTGATTGTGTCATGAGACCAGTCGACAAAAGAACCTTCCTGTCAG